TTGGGTTCGTTTTTAAATATTCATATATCGATAAATAAATAAAAGTGGTCCATAAATACTAATATAATTAAATATTTCACATATTTTAAAATCATATAACACTTGCTTTATCATTTTATTAATATACAATTGTATGTATTAATTTTTTTTAAATCTGGATATAAATACATATATTTAGATACAATAACCTTCAATGGACAAAAAAAAGTGTTTTCTTTTCAGAAAATATGCCAACATTGCATGAATAATCCCATTTTCACCCTATGAGACATTTACATACCAAATATCAGTCTAGTGTTCTCAAAGAAGTCATGTAACGAATGGATGGATTAGTGAACTAAAAAAATATCACAAGAGTCATTAATCATTGTTTTAAATATAGTTACTTCTTTTCAAAAAACTGCGATAGTGACAAGAATGTTTTTTTATGTTTGGTTACCCGTGGATGACCAAAATAATCTTCACTAAGCAACTTCACCAATCCATCTATCCCTCCTCTGCTATAAGCCAAGTTCAAGTGACAAAAAGCCAGACCAGAAGCAGCTATTTTCTCAGCCATACACTTTGTAATTACCTTCTTACTTATTAGTTGACTAAGAGAAGACAGATTTTTCTTTTTACACAATAGAAATTCAAGAGCTTCTATAATAAAATCAACAGAGAAGCTATGTTTACTAATATGGCTGATGTCAACATTACATTTACCAATCAATTGTTGAAGCATATGTACATCATGTTTTGCATTGTGAGCACTGTATTCAGTGTGTAAATAATCATTAACCAGGTTTTCTTCAGAGTAAGATGATCGAGGTGGTAAAATTTCACGAAATACAGAGAGCGTATCAGAAAAGCAGCAATGTTTATGTTTCAGTTTGTCTAAAAGACCATATCTTTGCACAGAACTAACCAGAATCCTAGCATCAAAATTCTTACAGTTATGTGCAACTAACACAGAATTTAATGGAATCCATTCTATAAAACTCTCAAGAGCATCTTTCTGTGATAATGTTGGTACTAAATTAAAGTTATGAAACAGTTTACCACATGTATATGTCAACCCAGTTACATTGGATGCTGCTGGATGTATTGGCTGACAGGGGTCAACATACTCATCAAATATTTTACCATCATAAGATGCAGCAATCTGACAAATTGAGGAATCAATACCAAATGATGTTGTTTCAAGATCAAATACAACAACAGGAGAATCTTGAAGTATTTTACTGGAAAACTTACAGGAGCATTAACTGGTTTC